ATGATTACCTCGAAATGCAAACAACTCCTTCAGCAATGATATGCAATCATTTTCGAGAACTTTTTCTCATTCATTTCATATACTTTCGGCGACAAAACAAAACTCTCGATATGAAAAGAATCTGCGGTTAGGAAATATCTGATCGTATTTAGGAGTACAGAAAGTGTGTTTGGAAAAAATTGCTGCTGAGTATGCAAATGAATATATTCAAATGGAATTTGAATATCCTTTCCTCGCGATTCCTCCAAAAATTGAATCATATTCATCTTCCCTTGGGAAGGATTACAACTCATAGATTACACAAATACACTTTCGAAACTTTAAGATTCACTAATGAGCGCAGTATCCACCATAAAAATATTGCTTCTCATAAATACGACCACATAAAAGAATTCTACTCGAAATTCTCATCGCTAACAGGAATAAGGAATCCAATAAATCCACCAAAACACACGAGCGAGCAAGCAACACCGTTACAATAATGCTTCAACACGACAGCAACTGGTCTTCAGAACCATTACACTAAACCAAATAAAAACTGTTCACATCACAAATGAATTTATCTTATAATCCATGAACAAATCTATACAACATATTTGCCGATTAATTACACTATCAACTCATTATAACAATAAATGATTCACTATTGTTATCTGTAACTACTCTCAATTATTGAGTAACTATTCAGCAAATTATAAATCAACTCTTTATGTGTGACAAACTACAAAACGACGGCATTCTCATCGTTAATTGAAGGAGCTTTCGATTAAGGATGGAAACAAAAATACGTCCGAATCAGCGGCAACAATGATCAGTGCTATTGCAAGAACGCAACTTAACGGATAAGTTCATGCACACATTTATGGATATACAATGACAATCAATTTGTATCAACTCATTATTCCATGTTGAACATTTTCTTCACTCGTTTCGGCAGCTCCGATTTGCCCTTTATCCGTCGTGCTTCTTCGAAGAGAACATTTCGACCAACTGAGAACAAAAACAAAAGTTCAAACGCATTCACAAACTTCCTCGTATGCTCAGACTACGGTCAGTCAGTCTCTAAGGTGTTCAGTACAATTACAGAAGAAGATGACTACACATTTATGGTACTCATAATGAATAGCTCTTCTTAAAATATGACTGTAATTATTCGAGAAAAACAATTATAAATCTGAGAGTATTCTCATGAAACTAATTTCCACTCACTCGCTGGATCGTAAAAAATTCCGCTAAATTTTTCGGCTGCCCTTTCGCGTACCCAT